CACACACACACACACACACACACACACACACACACACACACACGCACGTACGCATGCACGCACGCACGCACGTACGCACGCACGCACGCAAGCACGGACGCACGCACGCACGCACACACACACACACAGATATATATATATATAGGAAAAGACGTCATCTTGAAAGCTCGTTCGATGCAATAAAATCACGGCACCATATTCTATTTTGTTGATTACAATGCGCGTGCACCGCATGCCGGCAATCGGTGGTTATGCGCATGACAATTGTAGCTGATTTATCTGCTGAGTGCTACGCGGGTGGCGTGCGAGGCAGCAGTACACTCATCAGCGCGTCCGTGCGATGATGTCATCGCGTGCGACAAATTTCGCGAGGCTCTCTCTGTGAACGAAAATCAACCGAATATCAGACGATGTTGTTTCGTCTCAGCCGCTCGCGGGCGTCTTCGCATGCGGGTTTCGCGACGCCGCTAGAGGTCGCTCTTCTCACACTCCTCTATCTAGTGACCGCGGATGCAGCGGGTTCCTTCAAAATGGGGGTTATTCTCGTGAGGTCATCACCCGCGCCTTTCGACCTGGAGGAGGTAGGTCCTGCCATCGACATCGGCATAGCGACTGCGTCTCAAGAGTACAATGTGATATACGAGAGGCGCGATGAGATCTACTACAGCAGGCCGGGTAAGGCGTGTAACGCGACGACTGCCGCTGGTGCTGCGGGCGATCTAGTCTACCTGAACCACGTCGACGTCATCATCGGGCCGGCCTGCAGCACTGACATGCTCCCCGTCGCCTACCTGACGTCATTTCTCACCGTGCCGACGCTGACCGGCGTCAGCGACCTGCTGGAAAACGCGGATCGGTACAGCACGTTGACGCGCCTCTCCTACAACCAGCAGAAGCTCTTCCGGATCATCTACGCCATCTTCGACGCGTTTGCGTGGCGACACATCTGCCTCATCTACGACGAGAGCGTGAAGCTGACGCGGCTGCAGGGACGCGGGTTGGTGACGCACATGCTGCGTGATGGCGGCGTGTACGCGGCGCCCGTCGTGCTGCCCTTCTCCGCCGACGAACAGATCCTGCACGAGAAATACCTGCTGGATGCGCAAAGTCACTGTCGCGGTGAGCTATTTGAACCGGCTAGTTATAATCAAGCGCTAATAATAGGTACAAATATATTATATTATAATATATATAATTATACTAGTATTGTAATTATGTTTTTTTTTAGGTCTTGTAATTATGTTTCACCCGATCATTCGAATGACCTACTACCATTGTGCCTATATAGCTTATATTTTATAATATATATCTATAAGCTACTAATATCTTACCACGTACGTGCGTGAGTTGGAGAGTGCGGATGTGCGTGCGGCAAATTACTGCTGGTGTGCAGCATTGGATTTGTTAAGGAGAGCTTGGTGAAACATTGAACGCACAAAATGAACACCAACTAATCACGTTAACACAACAAAAACTAATAATTGTTACCGGATAAAATGAAATACCGTTGTTATCGCATTAATTAATACTCTTTACGGCCGCACAAAATGAACATAATGAACACTTTTTGTATTCAGCGTATAGCTGCGTATTCATCATACATAATAATAATCCCCAGATTATGTATGGTAAGTACCCAGCTTAGTGCAGAGAGTCAGCATTCGCGCCGACGTTAGGCTTTTCTCTTGCAGTGAGGAGTTGTTTACCGCAGATAGGCGAGTTATTAGTGGTGCAATAAGGTTTATTATACATTATTTTTATTTTTACTGATTTGTTGGAACTGCCAGTGCATTTACGATGAGCGAGATTTCCATCTTGTTTGCTCTTTCAGATATTTTTCAGTATTTACTAGTTAACTTTTCTTACTAGTTAGGACTCGCGTTTGGATAAGCCCCTGAATCATGCTAGCAAAAGGTGCTGACGAATATGTTTCTCTGGTACCGCTGCCTAAATCAGAGGAGTATACTACGCGCTAACGATAGGACGTAAGCAGCGTAAAATCAGAGCCGTATATAGAGACTATTATAATAATCTCTATATATTATGGCTCTGGTGAAAATTAGAAAATGAGCTAGCAGCGCCACCTAACGGCACAATTGTATTCTAACCGGCATAACGTGTGCAAGAGGACGTGAAAGCGAGTGATATGATACCTATAGTTCACGCACGCGCCACAATTTGTTCTCTGTGGCTTGAGCAAACGAGCGCGCCAGGCGTCGATATAGTATGTACATATGTAATAATGTGTATATTATACACGCGAACCCGCGCACGCAGGCACGCACGCACAAACGCGGAATGAACGTGTGAAATGTACATAAGCTACGTTTCCGGTCTAATTATTTTAAAATTAATGATCCTACACGTGTGTTAGGTCATAAGCGGCCCAGCTGCTGGATTTCCATGTGTTGTGTGTGCAACTATGCTAATCATACACACAGCTGATGCTGAATACACACTATATGTGGGCATATGCAGCAGAAAGTACGAGTAAACAAAGCAGCATAGTTGTGTGAACATGAAACAGATGGCTTGTTCCCCCCGAAATGTTCACTTGGCAGAAACGTGAACGTCAACGTCGCGAATAATAGGGAAGGGTTAGGGTGGTACGATAGCAAATACGTGTGCACGACTGAACGTTGCGTGTGCATGCTCGTGCTCCGCCAGGAGTCAATGAACGCATACACGCACGCGCGCGCGCAAAGGCACGGACACGGGTGTTGCTATCCCCCGGGCGTGGAGGGAGGTCACGTGATAACGTTGACGATGACGTTCAAAATAGAGTCCCTATATACAGACAGTCTGTATATAGGGACTCTAGTTCAAAACGTTAACCCTAAAGGTAAACCTCACTCCAACACCGACAACAGTAAAACTCACACTAAATATATGTGTAATCGCCGCGCTATATATAG